TTTTTTTTTTTTTTTAAACAATTATTGATGAATAGTAAGGTGAATAATATTATTATTAGTGTAATGCATGCTTTTATTTTATATGAGTATTGAGTTTTTGCAACAGGCTTAGGTAAGCTTATTTAAAATATTTTAGGAGGTTCGGAATTATACTTAAGTGCATTCTCGTAATCCTTGTGGTCAAGAAAAAAAAAATCGATACATATATATAAATATTTTTGTTTTGCAAAGCAATAACCTCTTTAAATGGTTTTCACGCATCAAATAAACATCAACGAAAATTTCAGTATTCTGCTCATAAACATGCCTGATTTAAAGTAACACACAACAAAATGCTTATCATACGCTGATTTTTCAAACATAACCTGAGCCTTATTTGTTTATAAACGTATAATTTTCTTATAAATGTCATGCAATGTCACATGCCAATTTAAGTCATTTTTGGACAACTAAAAAGTTCAGTTTTGTGGCTAACATTGGTTGTCCTGTCAAAATAAACGCAAATAAAGAAAAAAGAGGAAGACGCTAATACCAGAAGGCTACTGTTTCCTGTAAAGTATTCAATCAACCAGAAGTCATGGGCACCAGGTTGATAGAATATTTTAACCAGTTTTTCAGCATTGGAAAACCTTTTATATACAATTTTATAAATAAATAATGATGTCTATTTTAAAATTCTAAACATCACGGCTTCGAACACTCCAACACTGAAGTTTTTTTTATGGAGTTTTTACCATCTTCACAACCTTCCCTGTTCTGATTTATGTGCAGGCAATGTTGTTGGTATACACTTTTCATTTTGTGGAGAATCATATTGATGAGAAAATAAAATGGCACAGGAAAGCACTATATTTAATATTATATAAAGGCTGGTCACTCAGAATGAGATGGATAAGACGGAGCACATCATGTTTTATTAGAATGGGTAACAGGTCGGGCTGTTTTAAAGCAACATTAAAAAAGAGGCTCTGAAGTTTCTCAAGAGGTCATGGACCACAGAGATATTTAACTCGGGGACTACAAGAAGATATGTGAATTACTTGTCTTTTAATTATTAGCAGATGTACCACTGTTTCATTTTCATCAATCTGGAGCCTTCCATTAATTATTAAATTATGTTATCAACTGCTTTTTTAATTTTTTTTTGGAGAAATACTATTAATATTAATGATAATACATTGCTAAGGTGTTTGATAAATGCTTCATACCTGCTTGTCTATAGGATGACTAAAAATGTATTCTAGGTGATGAATCGGAAAAGAAAAAGATGATAAAAATGGCACATTTTAATTTGTCTGAGCAGTTTCATATGGGGAAACCAAAGCTACTAGTTGTTAGCAGGTCAACGGGCTTACTGAGTGGGGTTTCAATAAGTTGTGATTTATGCTTATAGGAACTTACTGAGCTGGTAGGAGCTTAATGAGCTGGTAGGATAGCTGAGGTTCATGTTGGAGAGTTGAAATGGCGATAAAGCGAGATGACTGTTAGACATTTTACATATTTAAAAGATTTTTGAAGCTAATTAAATGTGCCAATGACTGCGCAGAAAAGATTATCTGATTGGCCCAAAACTTTGAGACAACTTATTGGACAACACAATAAAAAACCTCATACTGGTTGCCAGACAATAACTTCTTAAACTAGAAATAAATTTTTTTGAGAGACAAATTTTTCACAAAAAATTGCACTTTTTTTTTGAAAAATGAAATTTTACAGCTATCACTTTTACTGGAACAAAAAGTATTTTTTTGATTACTTTAGCCTATTTGGACTTTAGAGAATGGGAAAAAATTGAGAGGTATTTTTTTTGATATAAGGATTATTTTCGGTTACCGTCAATACTAAAAAAATGCACATGGAATTGCCGACAGTAGCATATTTATTTTAGATAATAAATATTATAGTAATGTAGTAAACCTGGTGTCACAAATGTGAATTTTGTTTAATAATTTATTATATAAATACTTTTTAGTTTGTCAATTTTCTCTAGCATTGTTTTTTGTGTCAGGTTTTTTTCTTCTTATACCGATTGTAATTTTATAACCAATATTTGTAAAAATATAAAAAATCTTTAAATTCTCGATTCTATCTGTCAGATAACTTAAATAATGTCAAAAAACTTTAAAGTAATCAACAGTGCAGTGCTCAGATAATCTGAGCACTGCACTGTTGATTACTTTAAAGTTTTTTGTGTTACTTTTTATTAGTTGCGATAGGGAGTTTTCCCCATAACGTATAAATTTTTTAATCGTTTCAATTTTATGTTTTAATTTTTTTCATCTCAGAGACCCTCTCTGAGAAAAAAAGTTCATCCCACTCAGTTAGATGAATCCTCTTTTGCCGTGTTGATCATAATGTGTTTTAATTTAATATAACAGTTTTGACAAATAATAAAACAAATACTCTTCAATAAACTTTTTTTAAAAGGTGGATCTAAAATGCTGTAATAGGCTAAGACCTCAATTTATTATTTTTCGTCATTTATGACTTTTTGTACCTTGCTCAGATTTTAAAAAAGCACTTTTCTATTGTTTTAAGACAAGTACTCTTGAATAGAAAGGTTTCATTTGAGTGACATTATAAAACCTGGTAGTTGAAAAATTGATCATTTGTCAACAGAAGAACTGATAATTTGATGCATTCTGCATCGAATCACCAAGCCCGTTAAATTACATATCTTTTTTTGTTGCATACTTTTACATATGATTCTTTTTCATAAAAAACAACAACAACAACAACAGAAAACAATGTATGCAAAATTTTAACCAAAAATGTTGAGCAGTTTAAGAAATATCACATTTTTATTATTACTCTGTTCACCCATTCATTCATTACATTTAAATATATATATATATATATATATATATATATATATATATATATATATATATATATATATATATATATATATATTTAAATGTAATGAATGAATGGGTGAACAGAGTAATAATAAAAATGTGATATTTCTTAAACTGCTCAACATTTTTGGTTAGAATTATATACACACACACACAATTTACTAATAAAAGTGTAAAAAATGTTTGAATTAAAGAAGTTAAGTTATGTATTTTATGTCGAAAAAAAAAAAAAAAAAACTATACCTTCAAATGTTTGATATTTGGTCTGTAGAAATAGAAAAAACCCATGTTATGGTTTATCTAGTCAACAATTGCAAGATGTATATTTTGAAAACTTATATATAACAATATTTTCTGTATTTTATTTACTTTTTTTTTTCCTAATAATTGTTATGACAAAAGCATTGTCACTAATCATACAGAAAGATAGATAAGTTTAGGAATGTTCAAGAATTTCTGAAATAGATTTACTCTTTATAGACCAAGGTTTAAAAGGCATATTATTGATTTTGAAATTTTCATTTTTTTTTGGGACACTCTAATATGCAATCAAAAGATAGCATTCAAAAAAGTTAAGCAACACAATAACTTCCTTAGTTATTACCAACTTAGTTGGTAATGAAATTGTGTCTTAAAGCTAACAGTCTTAAAGCTAACAGTCTGTTAGAAATTCATCAAAGCTATAAAATAATTGCCTTTTTAACAAGATTTTATTATAATTTATTTTCTAACAGTTTATTAAAGTGTTATTTTACGTCTGATGACAATCTGTTCAATACAGATCTAAATACAACAACAGAAAAATATATAGAATGATTAAAAAAAAGTTTTAATCAAGTTGTTTAAATTTCTTTATTTCCCATACGAAAAATTTGAGTTATCCAAAGAAATATGCTGAAAGAGGACAAAAAAATGGTGCAACTTAACAAAGTTTGACCAGAAAATTTAGATAGTAATCAATAAATTGATTTCAAAGCACCAAGTGACACAGTTTGAATCAACTAGTGTTTGACTTGCTGGTATTTTACTGTATATATACATATAAATGTATATTTTACTGTATATATATATATATATATATATATATATATATATATATATATATATATATATATATATATACATATAAATGTATATTTTACTATATATATATATATATATATATATATATATATATATATATATATATATATATATATATATATATATATATATATATATATATATTAGGGTGGTCCATAAAACAACTTTTTTGAGAAAAACCTGCTGACACCCCCTAAATGTGTTTTATCTAATGCAAAAACACTAGGTTTAAAATTTTTTTGAACAAAAATTATTTTTAGGGGTAGCTCAAGGCCCTCAAAAATTTGACGGGTCCCTAATATTTTGAAAAAAAAACTTTTTCTAAAGTATGTCAACCTGGTACTCAAAATAAGCAAAATTATATAAAAAATTTAAAAATGATAATAATTTTTTATAAAAATAATTTTTTTAGGTATAAATGCATAAAAACTATTGTTTTTAAGCTGAAAATAAAAAAAGTCAATATTTTCAGGTTTTTTGAGAATAATTTTTTTTAGGCATGTTTTTTATGTAAAATGATTATTATTTTTGAAGTTTTTATACAATATCGCTTCTTTTGAGTACCAGGTTGACATACTTTAGAAAAAGTTTTTTTTTCAAAATATTAGGGACCCGTCAAATTTTTGAGGGCCTTGAGCTACCCCTAAAAATAATTTTTGTTCAAAAAAATTTTAAACCTAGTGTTTTTGCATTAGATAAAACACATTTAGGGGGTGTCAGCAGGTTTTTCTCAAAAAAGTTGTTTTATGGACCACCCTAATATATATATATATATATATATATATATATATATATATATATATATATATATATATATATATACATTTTTATATGACCTGAATTTTTAAAACTTAAAGAATGCAAAATATATTAGGACACTATATACTTAAATCTATTTATATAAGTGTACAAATACAACACTTATGTAGTGCTAATACAACACTTATGTAGTGCTGATGTAGTGTAAATATATTTTCTTCATTATAGATATCATCTGTATTTGTTATAATTATATTATTGTTGCTTGTTATTACTAAATCCTGTATTATATATTTATTGAAGCTTTATCAAGATATTTATGGCTACTGCATTGGTTTCTGACTTTAAGTTTTTATCTGATAAAGCTTGTGATTCAGCAGAAGAGTTTAGTACTTTGTATTACAACACTTATGACAAACAACGGCACCTACTACAGAAGCTCTATACAGACATGTCTTCAGTTGTGTGGAATGGAAACGGGTATCATGGTCTTACAAGCATCAACGATTTATTCATCAATCTACCAGTTACATCTCATGAGCTGTCAACACTTGATTGTCAACCTATATCTTCTGTTGCTTGTCCTGATAGAACATCTATCTTATTAGTATGTGAAGGCGCTGTTAAGTATGGAAATGAAAAACAAAGAAAGTACTTTACGCAAAAATTTATTTTAATGGATGTTAATGGAACCTGGAAAATTGCAAATGATTGTTTTCGGTTTATTGATTGATAAATGAGTTTCTATTATAAATATATTGATATAAAAATTAAACTAATTAGTATTTATCATAATAATATTATATTTAATGGGACAGCCTTTTTCGAAAAACTTAGTGCTGGTTTTTAATTATTTTTAAAATTATAAAATAACCTTGTGTACTAGTTTGTAATTTTTTTTTAAAGCTTTTATTCAATGTTCTAAGTTTAAATTATTGAATCAAACCTAAACATATTTTAAACCCATGAGTAATCTGCTAGAAATATCTGTATTTAATAGCAGTCTAATATAGGTGGATTTTTTTCCTTCTACAATTTTTTTTAACAAATTATTAGTAACTAGTCATAAATATAGTTAAACAAATATAAGTCAATATGGGTAAGGAATAATACAGCAATTAAATATAATAATTTTTTTTAAATCAGGTATTTCTAGTAGTACAATTTCAATTGTGACAGGCTGTCTCTTATATTTTTGTGTATATATAATGCTTTAATTAAGCAAAATAAGTTTGCAAAATATTGTTGAGTGCTTTTATTATCTATTGATAAATGTGTTGTATTTTTTTTTTGTATTGTTTATTTTTCCTTGGCTGGGAAACTTGATAAAAAAGTTTTTTTTTTTAATTTATTTAGAAGCCTTATAGGGTTGTGTTATAATAGACGATCAGACTGTCAAATATGCTAGAGTGTAATTAACATTTTCTTTTTTTGAATTTTTTTCCAGTGTCACTTAGTTATTTATTATAATTTATTTTAGATATATAAATCTCATGTTAATATTTTTCTGATCATTTGGTATTTTTTATTTTGTTGTAATATTTTTAAAAATCGTTTTTTAATATAATAATTATGATATTAATTAAGATACAAAGACTTTCTCTCTATTTTTCCATTTTGAAAATTACAATTTGTTTTTAAAAAATACAATTTATTTTTTTTATTTTTATTATATAATGAAAATGTTTATGTGTACATACATAATATATACATATCGAATATAAGTATGTATATATAAAAGCATATTAATATATTACATTGTTATGTCTTGTTATATCTATTACGAGAATTTTCCTTTTTAAATTTTGATTTAATAATTTTTTATAAAAAAATTTTTTTTTATAGTTACTATTTGATAAGTTAGTATTTATGATGTTATGTATTTATTGAAAGTGTTATTTATATCAGAATATATTTGAATTCAGATTGTATATATTTTTTTTCAATTAGCAAGTTTAATTTATTGTCATGTAAAACATTATGTAAAGTACTTAAAATATTTTAATAAAGTTTGACTTGTTTTCTCACGAGATTCAATGCATTAAATTTCCAATAACAACAACAGCAATAAGTTTTTTTATGTTCCCTTTGTAATCATTTTTACAATAGTAATAATCACAACAACAACAACAACAACAACAACAATAATTACAATAAAAATAGTTTTGTTAATAAAATTTTTTAGTAGAAATCAGAAAAATATGTCAAGAACAAAATTAATGAAGAGCAATACAACTAAAAGTTATAATAATAAATTGCAATGATATCTGTAAATGAATAAAAATATAGATTTAATATTTATAAGTAGAAAATTATTTTATAATAATTTGTTAATGATATATAAATGTCAGTGTAATTATAGGAGTGACACCAGTTTTTACATATGACTAATAAAAAGAATATAGACATAGAACATGCATTTAAAAATGAATACCGAGAAATAACATTTTGTTGGTAATAATAATAAAATGAGTAAAAAGTAAAGAAATAAAAAACAGATAGTTTTAATTATACAATATCAAAATTAAAAATATTTTAATAATGAAAGATGTCATGAAGTTAGAAGAAAATATTTTTTAGACCTTTTTTAAATTGATTTAAAAAAAAAAAAAAATAGGTGGTTAAGGTTTGAAGTTGTAGTTTTTTGAACACATTCACAATGTATTGAATGAAATTACTTCCGTTTAAAATCATTTTTAATATCAATTGGATATACAGCATTTAAGTTTAGGATCTGAAAATGAGTTGTGATTTTTTTATGTTTCCATCTCTTTAAGCCCACTATAGTCAAGCTTGTGTGACTTGTTTTATATTAACTATCATTATAGTATCAAATAAATATTTTAATTGTAATATAACTACCAATGAAGTTGACAGATAGCGTGATTCGTGCATTCAAACCTGCAAAAATATTCCGTGATAACTCAGACAAAATCAACCACATAGATTATTCAGCATCAGGCGATACTTTAGTTACAAGCAGTAATGATGATTCTATTGTGATTTATGACTGCTTTGATGGAAAGTAAGTTTTTTTATATGATTGATTTAGATTTAAGTTTTTTTTTATACAAATATTAAAGTTTATTCAGTTTCAATACAAATACTTTTAATTAATTTATAATTTAGTTTAAAAAAATTTTTCAAAAATTTTATTTTTATTAATTTCAGACAAAAAAAAACCTCTCACAGCAAAAAGTATGGTGTTGCTTTTATTCAGTTTACACACGCACCACATTCAGTTATACACACATCCACTAAAGTAGATGGTAAGGATTTATATTTGTAATAGATATAAAAATTAAGATTTTTGATATGCTTACGGTGTTCAATTTTATTGAATATAGAACATGAATGTAAGGAAATAACAGTAGGCTGAAAAAGATCACATTAAAAAAAAACAATGAATAATAAAACATATTTACTCATTATTTTTAGTCAACTTAAGTAATAAATGAGAAAATCAGTCAGTTTGGGTTTAACTGCCAAAATGACAGTTTTGACAAATTTTTGTTGGGCTTGTTTTTAACTTGTTATTGTTGAACTATTATTTTTATTAATTAAAAGGACACAGTGTACATTTTTTTACAGTGGAGGAAATGTGTGCTACATTCGAGAATAGTATGACTGGTGAATATCAACTGATCAACAACCAACAAACAAATTAACAATTAAAATTTGGAATTTATATAATATAAATAATTGTTAGAGATTAATAGTTTGTCACCATTGTGGCAGCTCATTGTTTAGGATGATAATTAAATTAAAAGGATTAAATGTAAAAATAAATTAAAATGTGCAATTGTAAACCTCATAAGTTTAAATTTTATTCAAAAGCAAGTTTTTCACCAGATTTTAGTTTTGGATTTCAGTCCAAAACTTTACCTTAAAATAACTAATTATTTTGAGGTAAGTAAAGTTTTTAAAAAAATTAATAATAAAAAACAAAGTTTATCACATAATAAAAATAATATATTTGCACAGTAAACAGCCAGGGTTAATATTTGGCAGGGCCAAGCAAATTACTATGCCATATAAATAGAGGAGAGTGCCCAAATTGGAACTGCGTCTTAATTGAAACACTTGCATTTATTTTGGAAGCAAAATGTCTCATGACTATATTTTGTATTTTTCTAGTAAAATGTTTTATTTTCTATGTGCACCATCAGTTAAAAGCTTTTTTGCATCATTGTTTTTGGTTGAGTTTGGTCAAGTAATTTTTCCTTACTTTATCAGTGATAAAATCAAAGGGTTAAAGATGGCATAATTAAAAAAAAATTGTTGCAATCTTAATCCTTTAAAGTAGAACTTTATTTAGTAATTTTAATTAATAAAATAAAAAATGTCATAATAGTTGAAGCTTTTGTACAATTATTTATTTGTAAATTTTATTTTGCCCAGATTTGTGCAGACAATTAAAATCTTATTATAAGTTTTGAACAAATTATTTAAACTAGCTGTTATGACCCGTGCGATACGAGTTGTGGTAAGTCTGTTCCACCCGAATATTTCTAAACTTATTCTTAATTTGGTCTCTATAAATTTAGTAAAGTTTTTTGCTTTTGGTTAGCAATTAATTTACTATACTTTAGAACTGCAATTATTTACTCAATATACTACAATATTTTATACATAATAAAAGGATCATATAACAGTTGTGCAACATTTCTTCAGGTGTTTTTGGAGACTTAGGCTATAATAATATTTTACTTTCTCATTAAGATTTATTTAAAAAACAAATTTGGACATTGAAAAACGGGCACAAGAGACTTGTCCATTAATTTTTCATCTAATTGCTTGTTGATTGTCTTTTATTTAATATGTTGATTTAAATAAGTTAGCTTTATCTGTTTGTTATTTTTATAAAAGCATTTATTTAAAAAAAATCTCTTTACAAATTTTTTCAATTAAGCTGTTTTTACTGCGGGAGTTATTAAACCTGTTGTTTGAGCCAAAAATGGAAACTTAATGCAAATGGAAACTTCGAGTACAAAAGGCGATTAAAGTATAAATGGTATCTATTCACATTTAAAAAATAATAGAAATATAAGAAACAAAGCAAAAATGATCAATATATCCATATAAAACAATAATTCTGAAAAATAAAAAAATATAGATATTTACTTGAGAAACAAAAAACATATTTTTCTTGAGATAAAATAAAAATATAAACTTTAATAAAAATTACAAAAAAAATATTATATTCAACATAAAAGTAACAAAAATACTTATACAACAATTTAAATTGAAACATTGTTTCATTATTATATAGCTTTAGGTAAGCTATAATTAAGTCAGCCATAATCAAGTCAGCCATAGGAGAAGGAATTCGACCTAAAAACAGAACAAAATTATTTTAAACACTTATTACACATTAATTACAAATCAACGTTCATGCAATCAATTAATTCATTTGAAAACTCAAAAATGTGAATAAGTGGATAAGAAACTTACTTTTTATTTTTCCATAACCCTGACAGATCAACATGAATGTGAGCTAAGTCTATTAGCATAAAACATCACAACAATTAATTAAATAGCAGAACATGTTACAGTAAACTCTAAAAAACTCACTTCAAGGGAAAAAGAAATTAGTTTTTTAAAGAATATTACAGTTATTGGGAGTATAGTACATAAAAAAAAGTCTCAACTGGAATTTCAAAATTAGTTCATATTGTTGAGGGTTATTGAGTTATCCTGAGTTTATTGTACATATTTTAACTACTAACAGCACACACTTATAAAAACATACATAAACATTTAAAAAATATAAATCTATAACTTTATATAACACATAATAACATCAACATTACTAAATAACACATTATAAGCGATCACAATGTCATGAGACATATTAATATTTATCAAAAACCATTACATCACATTTTAAAATGAAATATTATTTGTGTAATATACATTCAATGACATACCTTGTAGTGCATGTTTATCAAATTTATACAACAAGTTATAAAATGTTATGTTTCTGGAATGTGCTACATAGAATTTGGTTGTGTGAAAACCAAGGCCTTTTGAGATTAACATTAACTTTATCAAATGTTTGACCGTGACTTTTATTTCTTGTCAATGAGTATTGTTAATAAAAGTGTCTTTATTTAAATGATTAAATTTGACAGGATTAACATTAATGGGAAAAATTAAAAACACAATAATTAATTAACAAAAATATATTAAAAAAAAAAAGTTACAAAAAAAAACTGAAGTGGCTTAAAAGTTATTATTTATAACTTTTGAGCCACGCCTTCTCCTCCCAGCATCCTCCCACAAACACAATAGCAACCTCCTCATGGGAAGGAAGATTGTATGGACTTCTATCATGATCTTCAAGCAAAGACATTCTTACAACAGAAGTTGGCCTACCTTCTAAAGCTGCTTGGCGGATTTTCTCAGCCTCTACTTCTGCCATGTTTTTAAATGCAAGAGCAAATGGGTTTTTTTGATTAATTAATGTTTGTAAGGGTTGCATTAACTCATGTATACAACCATCATTACCAGGTTGCTCCATTCTGAATGACACTGCTGCATTAGGATCATAGATATATAACTGACAATATTTAAGCACCACCTTCTGCAGGCCTTAAATTTCCAACATGATACAAAATTTGCCCACAGACCCTAAAGCAGAAAGGGCCATTATTTTAGGGAGGAGCTATTTTGGCAGTAAAGGAAGCAAAAGATAAAGAGGAATTATAACTCCTTATGTGTATGCAAAAAAAAAAAATTGATTTACAGCATGATCAACATGGTTTCCTGTCATTAAATCAGTCAACAATGGTGGATATAGAGAAAGAGGAGCTAATACAACTTCTCCTGAATGCTAGCACAAAAAATGAGTTTCATTACAGTTCAACTCTTCTCGCCTAGCCTGGTTTCTTTCATTTTGACTAATAATTTAAAAGTCTTAAATTATCAGTCATATTTAGGCATCAAAGGTGTGTGTTATATAATAAAAGTTGAAGTTTTAGTTTTCTTTTTTAAACTTATCTAAAATAAAGTGTAAGCAAATAATACAGAGCATAATATAATTATCTAATTATATTCTACCATATATAGCAATGTGTTTAGATAAAATACTTTATCAAGAACTTAAACTAAAGTTATAAATAAATTTATATAATTTTTTAAACTGAATATTGTTATATATTTAAGGTAGTTTTAATTATTGACAAAATATTATTAATATTTAATCAAAAAAACGATAAAAAGTAATTTTAAAAATACATTTTTACATATAAGAACTCATAAATACAGCAAATCGAAAAAATTATAAGCCTTGTCAACTCAGCAAGTACTGCTAGCATGGAACAATAAAATGTAATCATCCATCAAAACCCTTTTATTACTTTGAAATGCATTTAATGCAAGATTTGCAATAAATAAGTCAATACAAAACTAATAAAAGAAAACCTCTATTAACAATCATATACATGGGATTTTTCGATGTTTTAGATAGGACACTTTCACACATAGTGCAAACTCTAAACTTAAGTATGTTCATACCTATGCCAAATGAGAAAGTCTTGAGGAAGGCCTGGGAACAAAAAAGCACTAAAACGTTGGCATTCCCCTGCCAAACGTGAGAGCACTGATGTAGTAAAATTTTCGACTTTACTATCTTAAACTAAATTTAAATTTATCGACAGATTTTAAATTTCGTAGAAAAATGTTGTAAATAGGGCCCATGATCATATATTTGCTTCAAGTAAAGAAACTTGAAAATATTGAAACTTCTTTAACTATTTTAATTTTTTTAATATATTTAATATATTTAATATTCTAAAGAATTAAAATAGTAATATAGAGAAAATATTTTCTATACAAAAAATTCTAAAAATTTAATGAAAGTTACTATATTATATTATAACACTTAGTATAAAAACCTTTATGTAAAAAAAAAAATTAAGCTAAACATATTTAATAAAGGAAATGGAAACTCTTAAATGTTTTTATGGGGAGGAGCTATTGGTAAAAAGGAATTCTATTTTTTAATAAAATTAATTTATTGTTAAAAGCATAAATTGTTAACAAAAAATAACAGAGCATAACAACATTTAAACACATTTTTTCACAAACATTTTTTCAACACATTTTATGAATACACTGATTACAAACAGATTTAATTTATGTGTTTCATCATGACAGTACACTACTCTACTGGCAAGGACAACATTTTTGTTCTCAACAAAGCCAAGTCACATAATAGCAAAGTACACCACTTGGCTAACAAGTTCAACATTCTTGCTGTAAACTA